TCTCACTAGATCGGTTATGACTGGGTAGTGAGTTCAATCCTCACTGTGTGCTCAGCACATTCTGCCTTGTGCCATATCTAAGCTATGCTTAGAAAACCATTCTAAGCACTTTAATGTGTTGTAATGTTTGTAAAGCTTGCCTCACTAGATCAATTACAACTGAATAGTGAGTTTGATACTTACTGAGTGCCCTTTACTTTCAACATTGTGCCACATCTAAGCTATGCTGAGAAAATCATCATAGATTTATTCAATCAAATATGGGCTGCTTTGTTCTACTATATTTCGCTATCTTTGAGGCAGCTTCATGATTCCATCCTCCTAAAACTTGAAATCTTTCTGGATGATGAACTAGTTTAATTGGTTTACAAGTTTCCAGAGAATTATAATTTTTCAAATAAGAGAATTGTGTAGAGATTGAAATAAGTGTATATCCGAATGTTCATGGTTAGGTGAGTATAGTGGATGTAATAGCACACCTCGGCAAAGCTGTACCAATTGCTGCAGTGTTTGTAAAAAGACATGATGTCTGGTGTTGTCCTGATGAAAGATGAGACGCCATTCCAATTGGGCAATTCCAGATGCTTTTCATTGATTTCTGCCTTACTCTCTGAATTCAATGTCTAATTATGTGAAAGGCGTTTGTAATACACAATGCCTTTCAAATCCAGATAATCAACATCACCTTATTTGGATGCAGATATATAACAATAAACTACATCTGGAAGCAAAGTGTCTTTTAGCAAAAAAGCTTTAAACTTTGTTTCTTTCCTTGCAAACATTGTGTTCAAATACTTGGTATAACAGCCCAATTCCACACTGTTCTAAACCAATCACAAGTACAAATTCGAAGATCTAGGAGCAGAAAGAAATGTCGAGATCATGAATCACTGGTCCAATATCACAAATCCCAATACACGTAAACAGTCAGAAATCACCACGCAATGCAACGGATGAGGCAGAGAAGTTCAAATCTCAATTCAAGCACACCAACCACTTTTATTGAAAGAATAATTTTTTTCTTGGTTGACAGGTGGGAGAGAACACACAAATTTAGCATATCTGACATTCATTTACAACACCTGCAACTGACTTGTTTCTATTTTGTTTATTTTCTCTTCAGCATATCGTACAGAACATGTCACCTTTTTCTCAGAAAGTAACTTTCTCTTTCGCCACATATGATTGAGAGATTGGAGGTTTTGAGGAATGTGGAACCACATCTTATTTGCTGTTGTTTCCAATCCAGCCTTGACTTGAATTGGTAGCACCAGTCAGGGTCCTAGCTATGGAAAAAGTGTTTTGATCTTTCTTTGGTGGCTTGGTTTGTTTTATTTTACAGTATATCAACCTTAATGGGTTATTTAATGCCAACAATTATTTATTGCTGGTATTATTTTTTTCCCTTCAAAAATGTATAGTTTGTCATATCAACTTCAATGGGTTATTTAATGCCGACAATTATTTATTGCTGGTAATATTTTTTTTTTTCAAAAAATGTATTACTGGTAATATTTTTTTTCTTCAAAAATCTATTGCTGCTAATATTTCTTCTCCAAAATCTATTGCTGGTAATAATTCTTTACAAAAAAAGTATTTCTGGTATTAAAACCTATTTTTACACTTTAATAGTGTTTTGACCCTAGTTCAGAGATTAACTATTTGCCCATAGCTGGGACCCTAACAGGTGCTACCACCCTGGGTCAGGGTGGACCTGGAAATACCAGTAATTAAGAGGTGGTTCCACGCTCCTCAAAACCTTCTTATCAGAGGCCTTGCTGTCAGAAATAGTTTTTCGTCTGATCCATGATGCGGATGTAGTTTGTTAAACCCAAGACAGTTTGTTTTGTGGTTCATTAGGGAAGTACAAAAATACATTATGGTTAAAATAGCAGCAACAAATATATAATAAATATATAAGAAAAATGACTAGTAATAATACATTTTCATAGGATTAAAAGTATAATACATTTTTTACAGTAAGATTACCAGCAGTACATTTTATCATATACAAACTATATATCTAAAAAGACATACATTTGCCTTGAAAGCATAAAATTATGTACAGAATATCTGTAGTTGAAGCCATAAAAGCACATAAAAAAATATTTAGATTTCAGCATTAATTAATCCCTACAGGGTGAAATGCCGCTAAACTAAATCAGCGAATCAGATGCAGGTCTGATAAACAATGACTCATTTTGTTTTTCTCGGGACAGTTATGGCTTCACATTGTTGTAAGCAATCAATTTTGTGATCTTATTTTTAAAAGCTGTGTTGTTTTCATTGCGTTTGAACAGAGAATCGCATCTGAAAATGCCATCCATTAATTGTTTTCCATTAAATTGTGAGGCACTCAAACATTGTAGCAAATCATGTATCCTAATAACAATCGTATGACATATAGAGAGTATCTGTGCAATGTACTGTGTCGTGATACCAGGTTTATTTTATTAAATCAACATTTCAACAACAACTGCAGGCTTTCTAGAACATTCTCATTCTTCCAGATCAAAATTTCCATTTCTGAACATTGCAAAACAACAAACGGACTGTATCTCAGCTATGGTACGTTCTCCATCAATGGCACATATCTTTTTTGCTGTTTGTACAACAGCTTTCTCTTTCCAGAAGTAAAAGAACATGAAATGATGCAAATGCATCTACTTTTCCTCCTTTTTCACAATCCACACATAAATTGTATATAAAACACCTATTGAAATGTCACCTTTCAGAATACCATATACTTGATTTGGTGGATTTTATTTAGTGGCACATCAATACCTCTATGGGTTATTTAATGCCGAAATCTAACTATTCTGAACAAAATTTATGGCTTCAACTAAATATATACTATGAATATGTATCGTTGGTAATTTTACTATAAATATATATCATTGGCACATTTTATATAAAATACATTTTAATACTTTCATAGTGTTCTGTTTTTGTTTGGGGCTTCACTATTTACCCATAACTGGGACCCTAACGGGTGCTGCCACCCCGGGTCAGATGTAGTTTAATGTCATACCCAGGACTACCATATATACTCAAGTATAGTGTAAAGTATAGCAAAAGTTTCAGTGGTCAACACTATACATGAAACTTGTTTATATGTGACTATATATAGTATGTATATGTGTCATAAATTTCAGTCAAACAGAAAATGCTACAAACATTTATTCCAAGCCAATAGATAGTTATTTTATATCTTCGTTTTAGCCGACTTTTATACTTGCTAAATTTTGTTTGGCATGAATGGATTGATTTCAAAAAGAACAATAAATCTATGTAAATGTAATGTACACCAAATACATTAGTAACATTAGTAACAGACTGCTTGTCCCTGCCAACCAACATTGCAGTAATCTAATTTGTTGCCAGTATTCTTGATGGCCAGTTATCACTTTATCAGTGTCGCTGTGATATTAGTCATAAACTGGTTTGCAGACGTTACCTTAGAAGAAACTGTTACATTGGTAAAATGAGACATTGACTCTGGAATTGTGTCTTGGAATAAAATAACAACACATAAAAGAAATCATTGTGTGATAGGAACCGTTTTAAGAAATTGATAAAAAAAATGTATAAATTCATAAGGCAATACAGGGTCCAGCAGAAATCCCTCTCCCATAATAGTAAAACATTTATCTAGATGAAGACACGATTGCTACTAATGTCATACCATTATATGAAATGTATTTCTGGGAGGTATATGTGGGATGTATTTCTGCTGCACCCTGTATAAGAGAAATGGCAAATCAAATGCTTGTAGCTTGAAAAAATAATTTGATAAATTTTTAGAAAAATGCAAATCACAAAGCATTTTAAATTTTTGTTTGATATATAGTTTTTATTTTTATTTTGTTTTTTATCAATTCACCCCAAGCAAGGCAGTAATGCCACTAAGATGCAAAGGCTAAGAGAATGAAAAGACTTCAGAAGTTGATAAAATAAATCATAATACAGTTTTACCTCTAGATATCATAGAAAAAAAATCCCTGTTTCTGCCTAAAGTTCTCTATGTGAAACCGCAGTCAAGATAAGGTTTATATTTATTTAACAACAACATATTAAACAAACATAAGTGTGGACTATGAAATATTGGCCACTAGGGTGTTTATGGGAAATACAACCTGTATAGAGAGCTTATACAGAGTGAAGAAACATCGCTTGAGGATTGCTTAAAATGTAAAACTAACAGTTAAGACATGTTGATCTCTATTTCAACTTGCTCGAAACTTAGCTGTTTCTAAGTAGTTAACTATTAAATTTTGTGACCTTTGGGTCTAGTTTTAAAATAAACTGGATTGATTTTTGGCTACTAAAGATCGATTTGTTTTTTAAAGTTTATCAACCTTTTGTGAGTTATTTAAAGCCAAAAAATATTTTTAAGATTGCAAAGACTTTTGGGAGATAATAATGATTAACTGATACAAGTCCTACTAATTAACCCATATCTGAGGGGAGAAGTGGTGGATTCATACCTTTTCCTGCATAAGTGAATATAATGAACCCTAATGGAATTGGAACTCGGCTATCTGATTTCAAATCCTGAGCCATTATCCATTACACCACTTGCACATCCAAGCATCTGGTATTCTCAAGCGGTCTAAATCTTGACCAGAATTGACATTGCTTAAATTGTGATTATACAAGAACCAATGTTTCAACGTGATATGGCCATAAACCGGACTCCTAAAGAAGCTGTTTCAAAAGTAAGTCACTTCACTATTTATAACTCAGTCTTGCAAACCTGCTTGTACATCAAATATTTGTTGAAAAACAAGTGGAAATTAATTGGGGTCAAGTTTGTATTAAAAAGTAGGTTATAAAGAACCCCACCACTTTTTGCCATGGTACATTTTTTTACAATCATTTACTCCAGAAACTGGCAGGTGAGAAAGGCAAATAACCAACTGGAATCTGAAATAACTGACCAATACCCAGTTTGTGACCAAAACAGGAGCACCTGATTACTGTTGAATAAGCTTACAGCTACATCACAATGAAACACTGGTTCCCATATGATCTCCAAAGTTAAGAAACGTTGAGCCCAGTCAGTACCTGGATGGGTGACTGTTTGGAAATACCAAGTGCTGTATGCTTGTATGTGTGATTGGTGTGATGGATAATTGCTCGGAATTATTTATTGGAGAGCTGAGTTCCATTCCTGTTGTGTTTGTTATATTCACATATGCACAAATACCTCTGGGAATGGCATGAATCCACTTCTTCTCCCCCATGCTATGGGTTAATTAGTATAACTTATACCACCAGAACCATTATTATTTTTTAAAAAATGAATAAATGAAATAGCAAAATATATATTTAGATTTTGGCTTTAAATAACCCATAGAGGTGTTGATATGTAACTAAACAAAAACAATCAAAGCAGCTAACTGTTGAATGAGTTCAGATCCACCATAATTTGGGCACCTCAATGTGGTGTAATGATTAGCAAGCTTGTCTCACTAGAACAATTACAATTGAGTAGTGAGTTCAATCATCAGTGGGTGCCATATACTTTCAGTTTTGTGCCACATGTAAGCTGCACTTATAAAATTACCATATCCACTATAATTACCAGTTTGTAGACTGGAGCCATCACATTATATTCTAGTTAAGAAAAACAGTTGTTGATACTAACAGTAAGATGGTTTAAAAACTAGCCAGGGTGAATATAGTTTAGACTAAGCTATATTGTGTTGTCTCTAGCTTCAAACCCCAATGCTACATCATAGACTGCATTAATAATGGACAGTCTTCTTTTTTACTCGTTGAATATTATGAAGAAGGGTAGTCATGGCATCAGTTCTAGAAGGAAGGTAGAGAGAGGTGATCACCCGGACACATGACGACTGGCTGAAATCTCATTGCCACATGCTAGCTTATTTCACAAAAGAATCTAGGTGTGGTGAGGCATTTTCTTCCATCTGATACTTGAAACTGTCTGAGTGTCTTTGTGCATTTTTGGTCTTATATCAAAACTTAAACAAATCAATCCCTGTTAGAATTTTATGCCCACAAGGTTCCAACTACCACCACTCAGTCTGGGTCATCAGAGTGTTCTGGTCAGTAGTTTGCCTGCCTACACATTCTGTAACACTAACCCCAATCATATCTTAGAGGTTATTCTGGAATAGGTTAAACTGTAACTGGTTATTTTCTGGGAGGAGGTTAAATTGGACTACCACACCATACTTTCAAAAGTGGTTTAGACAAAGCGGGAAGTTTTTGACAGAAATGAAGAAGTTATGAAGGAGTTTTTTTAATTCATTGTTTTGTTTCTTTATTTTTTAATATGTTGACTGTCATTTGTAATCAGTATAATCTTAATTTGAAACTAAAAAAGAAAATGTTGATTGAACTGAAGCTACTTGATCTCTGAGAATTTTGGCAGGCCACTTAACATCTGTTCTCCGCACATTAAACAAAATGCGCCAAATTGGATGATCGCCATCTTGGCTTATGCCTGCTCCTTTGATAATTTTAACAATGTATCGTATAAACATTATTGTTATCAAGAAGATTGATAAGCAGCAATCATTTCATTTACCACAGAATTGTTTGTCTAGCTTTTCTGTTCATTTTTGATGTATTGATTTTTTGGACCAGTGCAATGTGTTGAATTGTCTATCCATTGATTGATTTCGATTAGCATTGTGCTTTTATTTGTTCCATTTCTGCCATGTCGGAAATGAAGATTTTTTCAGTAATTCAAAATGATCATCAGATTTTTCAGGAATTCTTTGGATTGGTTTCTCATCCTTTGCTCTTTTAGTATGACTGTCCTTCACCTTTCTAATCTATAAAGAAGAACCCAGCCAGAAGAATTATACATGTTAGGAAGCCCAAAGAACTTATCAGCCTGTTGGCGATGAAAACATCAAAGACAAACACTTGGGTTTTTATTACAGTCTGTTTATTTATTTTATTTTTTTTTTTTTGTATAAACTTGTAGTTAATTTCTAGAATGTCGTTTGTATAACACAAAATATTGCTTGTTCAAATCACCATTCTTGAATTCTCACACTTCACCAATGTAAACTTCTTCACACTGATTCAGCCCCCTCTTTTTCAGGCCAACTAACCAATTAGCATTCTTCACTTTTGTCCTCTGTTACCTAGACAAATAGCCTCCTCTAATCCAACCAATCAGCACATGATTTGCTATTGGTCGAACCATGCCAAGCTCTACAAAAGCTACTGTTACAGCACGTACTTTTGGAACAATCCAACATGAAAAGTGGAGATTAACGCTGTTTTAAAGGAACAAAATGCTGATGCTACATGCCATGTATTGAGGTAAGGAACTTATTTTCCTTTGTACCAGATGCAAAGGACTCTGGCTCGCTTGCTTCTATGTGATTGTTCACCACATAAACTTCCTATAAATTTCCTCATAGATAAGTGAGAGAGATATGAGGTTTTTAAGGAAAAATGAAAAGCAAAGGATACTTATACATCCATTCACCAACATAAACTGGTTTTCCTTCTCACTGCTTCAGGCCAACAACATGGCTGACCAACCAATCAGCATTCTTCGCTTTTGTTCTCACTTACCCAGGCAAATAGTCTGACCAGTCAGTACATGATTTGCTATTGGTCAAACCATGCCAAGCTCTACAAAAGCCACCATTACATACTGTTGGAACATTCCAACATGAAAAGTGGAGATTAATGCTGTTTTAAAGGAACAAAATGCTGGTGATACATGTCATGTATTGAGGTAAGGAACTTGTTTTCCTTTGCACCAGATGTATGCCATTCTGTCTCGCTTGCTTCTACGTGATTGTTCACCACAAAACTGTAGTGAAACAAAATTCTCAATGCCTCTCCAATATGCTCATTTTCTTTTTGGTCCAGAAGTTATGGTAAGTAAAAATAAGCATCATTATAATGGTTGAGCTTGTCATCCTTGTACAGTGTTGGAACCAAAGAAAAGTTTGTACTGAATCCATCATTGGAGGGTTTAAGCATGATAATAATGGTCGATCTCAACTTGGCTTTGCACTGTTGGAATACTCAAAGAAAAGGTTGATTTACTTTACAGATGGAGGTTTTAGAAGATATGTGTGAATGCCATGCATTGGAAAGGGGAAAGAGAGTTCAGTTATCAGTGTACCAGGAAAAACAAATGTGTCCCAGAGGGGACATTCATTTTTTTTTCCACATCCTGTTGTATCTTGGAACAGGGAGGAGAAAAAGTAAAGGAGGAGATCTTTTTATAAACATAAACAGCATCAACTAACGGGCGTTTGATGAAGCCAAATTGGGTAATAAAATTTCTGGTCTCTTTACTACTGACATCATTGGAAAACATCTTTTTTCTTTATTATTATTATTCATTATTGTTGTAACCTAGGGAAGGTTACTAAATAGAATAATCAAACAAAGGTAATGAATGATAATACTTAGGACAAGAACAACACATATAAGACTTGTCAGCGGTGTGTAGAAGTGAATCAAGTGAATTCCATAATGAATCTTCAACTGCAGACCAACATACAGTATTTACTACTTTATTTATGTGAATGGGGATATACCCATTATCATCTGTAGGTATGCTACAACAATTATTAATATTTTAATTATTGATTTTATTTAATTTTCCCAGACATCACCAAATTTCAGTGCTTATTTTCAAGACAATATTTTTATTTTGATTATATAAGATATTTATGAATTTTAAATGAATTAATTCCTTCATTTAAAAAATGAGAAACAATTTCCCAAATTTAAGTAATTTTATGATGGGGCATAATGGTTATTTTGTTATGAATTCTGCAGACACTTTGTTTTGTATATCTATATTTCTGAGATGAGGTATTATGTACACTATTTACATTATTCGGATTATTGTCCTCATCTTTGTTGCCATATTTATTACAATGTTTCGGCCATTTGCCATTCTTAGGTGGTTGGAATGTTTGGCACAGTGGATAAATTGTTAGATCCAGTGACAGACCCAAAAGTGTGAGTTCAATACCTGGTTAAGGGTGAGAACTTTGGAATGTCCTGAAAACTGACATCCATTAAACACAAACAGTCTACTCCAGTGGCAAAATAAAGGGTTGTTGACATTTAGATCCAGTAAGGAGGCAGGACCGAAATTTTGTTTCTGGCAAAAAATGAGGACAATAGTCCGAATTTTAACTCTTTGTTTTGTAACATTGATGAGGTGTTGGGTCATACTAAAATGCTGGCTTTCTATTCCAAACAAAAACATGACAACCCTGAATGACCTTTTCAATAGGACTTTATGAATTTGATAGATTTGTCACTTTTCATCATTAAATCATTTTTTATAACAAGACTTTTCTTTTTCATTGTGACTAAAGAGAAAATAATTCACTAGGACAAAAAAAGTGTTTTAACCACTATTCATTTTGGTAAATTTGTGTCCATTTTCACCATTTTTGGCAGATCTTCTGTTATCACAATGTTGGATATTTAATAAGAAAGATGATGAAAATAAAGAAAGAGCCATAAATTAAAATGAACTTTATATACTGAAAGCAGATTAAAAATTTTATTTTTTTCCTGATTTAAAAAAGCCTCTGTTCCACTTTATGTAAACAAAACAATCCAAATTTGTTCATATTTTTTCCTCAAACATTATTCAAATAAACCCAATCCTATTCAATCATCTTTTCCACCAAAATTTCTCAAACATTCAGGTTGGCAAATGTAAGGGTAAAATAAAAACAGAGCATTTACTTTGATAAATTTTATCTATAAAAATAACATATAAACAGAAAATACAAAACCCAGATTAAAGGCAAGAGGGACAGAGGAAAACAGCAAACTTTCAAATCAATGTTTTGAAAAAAGAACAAAAGTTATCACCCAAATAGATTGTCAACGTCCTGAAAGGAATGGTTTATAGAAAAATTTCAAAAGTTTATTAGATGTCCGGATTTGTTTTTGTTTTTTATGGTCTACTGTATTATGATTTTTTATTTCAAAAATTGTATTATTCAATATTTCTTGATAAACTGTATTTTCTTTTTCTTCTTATTTTGTTCCTCCAACCCTCTTGCTTTACACCAAACAAAACAGCAGGATCAAGTGGTCACCCATCTAGGTACTGACCAAGATAT